TAGGAGTATAGGTTGTGGTTGGCCCTTTGGAAACTATTTAAAGCACGGGCTTGTTCATGGAGACTTTCCTTAAAAGAAGGCAAGGTTGGACAATTATTGGTTTAGTGTTCATTTGTTTCACATATTTGACACACAATGTTTTCAACAAATTTTAATTGACCACTCTTTTTCAATTCTAGTGCCTCGACTTTTTTAGCTAAAGATGCAAACTTAGCTTGGAGGTCATGATCTTCCCTAAGATTGTACATACCTCCACTAGATGTATGAGGTTGAGTTTTACTCGATGCCTCATAAGTACCCGCAGTGTCCCAATTTTAAGCATTTTCACCTAACAAGTCTAAGTGCTTCATTGCTTCATCAGGGTTTTTATCTTTAAAAGTTCCATTGCACATCAATTCAATCATTTGCCTATCTCTAGGTGTTAACCCTTCATAAAAATGTGAAACCAATCTCCATGTTTCAAAACCATGATAAAGGCAAGTATTAAGTAAGTCTCGATACCTATCCCAACATTGATAAAATATTTCTCCTGGTTTTTGAGTGAAAGTGGTGATTTGTCTCTTGAAAGAGTTTGTTCTATGAGATGGGAAAAACTTCTTTAAAAACTGTTGTTGCATTTCATCCCAAGCACGAATGGATCCTGGTCTTAAATTTTGTAGCCATGTTTTAGCTTACTTCTTTAAAGACTATTGTTGCATTTCATCCCAAGCACGAATGGATCCTGGTCTCAAATTTTATAGCCATGTTTTAGCTTTATCTTTTAATAAAAAAGGAAAAAGCTTTAATCAGACGATGTTCATACTACAATTTGAATCATTATATGTGTTACAAACCTTCTCAAATTCCTTTAAATACAAGTATGGATTTTTCAATTCTAAGCCATGAAAAAAAGGTAAAAGTTGAATAATGTCTAGTTTAAAATTAAAATGAGATGCATCAGGAGGAAAAATTATACATGATGGTGCACTTGTTCTTGTGGGATTCATGTGATCTCTAAGTGTTCTAACACGGTTATTCTCATTATTCTTATTACGAAGTGATTGATTATCTTTTTCGGCCATATTTTCTGAAAATAATGAGGATACCCTACAAAGTCTACCATTTGATGTACGTGACCACACTCTAATGCACGTGTAGGAATAGAATAAAAGGAAAAAAAATAAAAGAAGAAGAAACAAGAGAAAAAAAACAAAGTTATATACAAGAAAAGTTAAAAAAGAAAATAAAATAAATAATATAACTTGTACAAAAACTTACCTCCCCGGCAACGGTGCCAAAAACTTGACACGATGAAAAGATTAATATCTTCTCTCAAGTGCAGGAGTGTCGAAGTAATAAATAACCTAGCAAGACCGGGGTTGAACCATAGAGAGGTTAATTGTACAAATTATAAATAACAATAATACAACAACAATAACAATAACAATAACAACAA